GCGCGCAACCTGATTGTCACATCAAGGAAGGGACCCAGTGATGAGGCCTCCAAGGGTCTCGTCAGCGAGCTGCAAGGCAACGGCGTCAAGATTGTCACTCCTCACTGCGACATCACTGACAAGAAGGCACTGGAGAACGCGATCTCTTCTGCTCTTGCCTCCTTGCCTCCAGTCCGTGGATGCATCCAAGCTTCGACGGTTCTCAACGTAAGTTTCCTCCCATCTTCATTGTACAAGAATCCAACTAACACCTCCGCAGGACAATGCTTTCGGTGAGATGACTCTCGACCAGTGGAACACTGCCGTCAACGTCAAGGTCACCGGAACCAAGAACCTGTGGGAGGTGCTTTCCGGCGCTTCTGCGCTCGACTTCTTCGTCATGCTGTCATCCCTGACCAGCGTCACTGGCAACCAGGGCCAGGCCAACTACAGTGCTGGCAACTCGTTCCAGGATGCCTTCGCCAAGTTCCTCTCCGCTCAGGGCCACAACGTCGCGGCCCTCGACGCGCCCGTCTTGACCGATGCCGGCATGGTCGCTGCCAGACCCCATTTGAGGACCTACCTGCTCTCCATCGGTTGGGCGTCCATGTCCGTCGAGGAGCTCATCAACGCGCTTGACTACTACTGCCGCCCCAACTCGCAGAGCGCCGAGGAGAAGGTCAAGGAGGCCCAGGTTGTTCCCAGACTCTGGCTCCCCAAGTACTCCGCAGACGAGGGCGCCGAGCAGCCTACCTGGCAGACCGAGCCCATGTACAACCACCTGGTTCTGCAGGGCGCCGGAAACGGCGGCTCGCTGCCCGGAAAGCAGGGCTCTTCCAAGCGCTCAGTTGGCGACCTCATCGCGGCGGCCGAGACACTGGAGGACGCCGAGCAGATCGTCCTGGACGCATTGCTGGCGCAGCTGTCCAAGATTCTCAGCTACGAGTTGGCCGACCTGGACCCCTCCAGGCCCCTGAACGCCTACGGTGTCGACTCGCTTGTGGCTGTCGAGCTTCGCGTGTGGATGACCAAGGAGATTGGTGCCGATATCTCGGTCTTCGAGATTACCAGCGGCCAGCGCATCAAGCAACTTGCCGGAAAGGCGGCTGCTACGTCGAGATTCCGCCCGAGCGCGAAGGCGGAGTAAATTGTTCGTTCAGTTGTTTTAGATACCATGAGGGGGAATACAGAGAGGGAATAATAGAAAGATTGGAATTAGCTGTTTATAGATTATACATGTCACATTTACTCGTAAGCCGTCAGGCACCATACGTAGCATAAAGGTCCCCGAGCTTTCTATCAGCTCTTCTGATTGTCTTAAAAGATATTTTCTTTCGCGGTCTCTCCGCTAACCCTCCAAATGAAGGAGGTTTCCTCATGGTGATGTTCATATCTCAACTGGCGTGCTTCTGCGGCCCTCTTCGCCGACGGCTCTCTTTTGCTGCGTTTATCTCAAATAAAGTATACTTTGCTCTTATCCCGTTGCATTCTCAATCCTTGACACATGTACGTAGTTGATCGCTTTAAGAGACTGGTCTTTCCGTCGCGTTGGTGGCATTCCCGTGCTCCACAGTGTGGAATCAGTTTGACGTGTTGCAATAAGCGTGAGTTTGAGAAACCCCTCACAGGTAGGGTGACCCTGGACAACAGTGGATGCAGAGTCATGACAGGGCGCCATTGACCCAAATACCGACACTCTCATGCCTGTTTCAATTGGCCGCCGTGCAGACAAAATACAGTGCAAAGCAAGGGACGAAGCTGCGGAGCTTGCGGTTGTTCCCCTGGCCATCGCGTAGCAACAAGCGGTGATCGACCCGAAAGATTGAAAATTGGGCCAGAGAAAGTACAATACCACGTTGTCATGTAGGAATTGCACATATAAAGACCCAACACCGTCTGCCTCACCTCATCTGAAGGTGAGTGTTTCGTCACAACTTGAGATCCGTCAATACCTTCGTTTTCTCAACACTTACTCCTACCCATCATGGCCTCCCAAACGCCCCTCAAGATCATTCTCGGAACACACAGCGTGAGCATTCTAACAAGACAACAAATGAACGTTGCTGAAATCATAACAGGTCGGCGATTCCGCTGTCGATCCTGGATCCTCTCACTTTGACAGCGAGCAAGATGTCCAAGCTCTTTTGGACGCTTTCCACGCCCGCGGATACAACAACCTGGACACAGCTCGTGACTACTCCCCAAGCGTCCAGGGCGCTTCCGAATCACGCCTTGGTCGGGCCAACGCCGCCTCTCGATTCACCATCCACACCAAAGTCCACAGCGCAGACCCCGGTGATCACCAGCCTGCAAACCTTGAAGTCAGCATTGGCAAGTCGTTGAGCGATCTTCAAACATCCACCGTCGAGACGATGTTCCTGCATTTTCCAGATCGCCAGACTCCCTTCGAGGATACGGTAAAAGCAATGGACGCTGCTCTGAAGCAAGGGAAGTTCAAGAACTACGGCCTGTCGAATTACTCTGCGGCTGAGGTGCAGAAGGTTCTGGAGATCTGCGAGCAAAATGGGTACACTAAGCCCAGTGTGTACGAGGGGCACTACAATGCTATTGTGAGAGGAGGCGAGAAGGAGCTGTTTCCCCTGTTGCGCAAGCACAACATGGCATTCTATGCGTACAGGTTTGTCATCAAGTATTTTATGAGAGAACTCAGTCTGACATACTCTCAGTCCCGCAGCCGGTGGCCTTTTCTCAGGGCACAAGGCTTCATCAGGCCGATGGAAGAGTGATGTAAGTCCTAGTCTATGCCATGATAGTCTCGCCTACCCTAACACAAGAACAGAACTTTATTGGCAAGGTCTACACCTATATGTACCGTAAACCTCCGGTTCGTCTTGCGGTGTCTACAATTCTCAAGCTTGCAGATAAGCACGGCATCAGCGGACACGCAGCCGCTATGAGATGGACGGCGTTCCACAGCAACTTGGATGTGGCACATGGTGATGCGATTATCTTTGGCGTTTCCAAGATAGAGCAACTCCACTCGACACTTGACGCACTTCAGGCTGGTCCTCTTCCCGAGGATCTTGCGGCTGCTATTACTGCTGTCTACTCTAAGGTGGAAGGCGCAGAGCCTCCGTATCACCTTTAGATAAACACAATAGTGGTCTCACGAGCAATTCATGCACAAATGGAATCTGCAGTCTTCTAGATCAATCTTACATCATCATGATCTAATGTCCTACTATCTCAATGGTGAACAGGCACACACAAGTTGGACAACCATTTTGTGAATTCTAGTCGGCTTATACTTCAGGTGCACCCTTCAGAGATAAACAATACCAACCTAGTGTTGATCAGACCTTGCTAGATATTACCAAGATTCTTTCATTGAAATGATTCCAGCCCTTTGAACCTCGTTCTGTTGCAGCTGCGGTCCCGATTCTTGGGACCAACTAAGCTTTTGAGGGCCCGCCAGAACACCCATTCATAACAGAACGATGCAGCGTTCCCAGCCCAACGGTTCCGGGCCGGTCAACGTCTTTGTGTATTGGTTGGTGAGTGGCGTCGAGAACTGTGCTAGTGCCATCGTCTACAAGACCGCGAAAAGGGGCACGGTACTGCGAATGCCCCTTGCAGTGAGATTGCTCTTGTTTGACATCGAACTGCCGGGTGCACAGACTAGAGACTTGTTTAGATAGATCAACCTTGCCTTCGTCATCTGAACATGCAGAACGAAAGGCGTGTGGCGGATTGCAACATCACTATGTTATTATAATATTCGGCCAGAAGGTCTTGCGATATCTGGTATATGGACGAGAACGACGAAGTGTCAAAGACGAGGAAGGTTGTTTCCTCGTCTCTTTCTATGTAAATACGTGAAATTTCATTGCAGCTCGCTCTCTGATGACATGATGGTTTCTGCAAAATCTCGACATGTTTTAGCATGGCGGCTGGTTCCTTTAGTGGCTAACTAGTCTCAAGGAGTTGCCCGGATGTCTTGGGCAGCGACGGGTATAACATGGTGTTGTTTGTGGTCTCTCAAAGGCTGGGTGTCTCCGTTAGCAGCATGCATCTTGTGTGATGAACGGAGCGCAGAAATCAATCTCTGAGGTATCGGAGATATTTCAGACATGAATTCGCAAACATCGATTGTCGGTTTCTAGAAGATCATTAGAGCATCGTCATACATACCTTTGAAGTCTGCTTTCGTAAAAAGCATTCACATGGTCCAGGCCTTTGGGACCGAATGCGGTGCCTCCATGTCTCGGAATTCGCGTGTCTGGGGACTGTGGCGGTCCACTCCAGCAACCGGCAACGGTCACCCGCGTCACAAGAAACACGAAGAGTTTACCAAAACAGATCAAGATGTGAAAGACTCGGGTACTCGTGCTGTAGCATCACCGAACTGTGGCTATGAAGATCTTCAGAGCACTCCAGAATACAGCCTAGCGCTGTCAAGCCACACCCTTTAGCAGCTAGCAGCCGCCCGCCAGCTACCACGGGAGTCTGTAGCCGTCGATAACTGCTGATTCCAGCCCTGGGTAGTTCCCCTGAATTCTGGGGGTTCTCCCAATGAGACCTTGCGTCCCTCCAACTCCACAGCTTGGTCTGCCAGCACCGGTCCCTCGCGGCTTCCGGGACCCGCACCGGGCCTCCAACACCTTCCCCGATCTAGATGGCGAGAGGTAGTTAGAGCAAAATCTCCAGATCGACTAGTAGACGAGCTGGAGCTAGAGGTCCAGAGACAAGGGAATTTCAAGCCACGTAAAGCCGGCGCAAGGAGCTCTCGCTGGCTTGTGGTCTCTGCGACTGTGTCTCACTGATCGGTAGTTCAATCACTGAGAAGAATGTGGCGTCTGCATCGTCATTTGCGCACCCCTCTTTCTTGTCCCGTCGTCCTTTATTATGCTCGCCATTCCTGGGCATGTCCTTATTCTGTGCCTGACTATCTTGGCCACCGCCCGGTGGGATGAGACCCTGAGAACAACACAGGACGGCACGAATTCGAGATCCGGGTCCACGAACGCATCTTTCGATATTGATCACCGCCAACAGCCAATATGCGGTTCCTTACTCTCGCTCTGGCGTTTCTGGGATTTCTAGGCATGGCCTCGGCGGCCATTGACCTGGATGGTGTCCCGAGTTGTGCAGTATGCAAGCAGTCTCCATGGCATTTGTCGTCGCTCACATTTTGTTACTAGGTCAGCTGCATGATCAAGGCGCTCACGCAGTCAACGTGTCCTGCCACCGATGCAGCGTGTCTCTGCGTCGATCCAAAGTTCAACGCAGCCGTGGGACCATGCATCCAGCAGACATGTAGCATCAAAGAGATCCTCAGTGAGTACATCAAGGTCACGAACAGCGTGTTAGATCAGTCCATCTAATACAACACGCAGTCACCACGAATGCCACTTGGTCACAATGTCATTTCCCCCTCACGGACGAGAGGCCCACGATTTACTGGATCAGTGGCGCTGTGACTGTCGTTACTGTCGCCTTCATGGTTATGCGGCTTGCTTCCAAGGCCATGAAGCTTTCAGTGTGGGGGGCTGATGACACTGTTATCATGATTGCTTTTGTAAGAATGCCGTTTCTGTTTCGACGCCGTGGGCACTGACACTCATCAGGGCATGGTCATCGCTTACTACATCGAGCTTTTCTTCTGTGAGTATCCAAATAGCTGTTGGCATATCCCTATGAAACTTGATTAACCTCAATTTAGTCGTTCGTGCTGGGCTTGGCAGAGATATTTGGACGCTTCACGACTACGACATCACATACTTCTTAAAGGTCCGTCAAATCAGGCATTCATGGTTGCAAAATGTTGATGGAAGCTAACCTCGAAGCAGCTCCTCTATGTCTTTGAGTTCTTCTACTACATCGGCCTCGCTTCCATCAAGGCCTCAATTTTGTTCCTGTTCCTCAGGATCTTCCCGGACAACCGCTTCCGCAAGATCCTCTGGCTGATGCAGGGTCTCAACTTGCTCGTTGGTTTATCCTTCGTCATCCTCTGCTTTTGCGAATGTCAGCCTATCAACTTCTTTTGGAACGGCTGGGATGGAGAGCACGAGGGGACGTGTTTGGACCTGAACCGTATCGGGCTCAGCCACGTTGCTTTGAATATCACCCTAGACGTGGTGATGCTTATCCTGCCCATCACCCAGCTTTACAAGCTTCAGATGGACAGGAAGAAGAAACTGGGTGTGATGGCGATGTTTCTTGTCGGTATCTTGTGAGTGTCGAAAACGCACCGGACTGATATGGCCCTTTCGACTAACACCTGACCAGCCTCACTATCGTCAGCATCTTGCGCATCAAGACGTTGATTGCCTTCACAACGTCATTGAATACGACTGGTATGGACACATCCATTCACACCAGATGACTCTTTTACTAACATGCGCCAGCCGATTCCGTAGCAGTCGTACTCTGGGCCTACGTGGAACTCGGCGTTGGCGTCGTCGTCGCCTGCCTGCCCAACGTGCGCCAGCTCCTCAAAACGCTTCCCTCCAAGGTTGTTCACCTGTCGAACGCCGTGGCATCCGCAATGGGCTCATCAATGTCAAGCAGCCGCACGGTGTCAGTCTCTCAAGTGTACCACGACAAACCGAACAAGTCGTTCGGCGACACGACGACGACGATGGCGACCGACACGACAATAGCTCCTTCGGTAGCAAGTCGCTCGCCTCGGGCCTCGCAGTAAGGGTGTGGTGGAGGTCACGGACTCATCTACCTATGTAGCGAATACATGAGAGAGCACATTCTGGTGCGTTTGGTGTCAAGACTGTTGGTTGTTGTGCCATTGTATCTGTGAAAATTGACAGTGCCTCGTGAATAATGTGACGGCCGCTTGTATCCTGGCCGCGTAGCGTGAGTGCCTTACCCTCGGGGTCTAGCGGGGGGAGAACAGCACAGCGGCTGTGTGAACAACAGCGGTTTTCGTCATTGGAGAACTTACTGGTAGACAAACCAGTTTTCCGGAATGGCGTTCAAATTGCAATTGTCCAATCAAGAAGACGAATTGGAAAATCTCGACGAACAATGGCTTTCTAGTGCTGTTGCGGCAAGGATGTTCGAGTCACAGGGCAGTGCTGCGTCAGATATTGGGTATCGAAGCATGCATCGAACCCAATTGATCGCTGTACGCCCTGTCCAGTGACTCAACCCGATTCCTCGGGTCTATCGACCCAGTGATAACCGCTTCAACACAGAAAAAGATGCGAAGACGGATTGAACATCAGACAATAACGTTATCTTCAGGATGAATCATATCTCTCTGTTTCACCAAGAGAACAGCATGTAGCTGTGTTATCTTGAACTTGTCCGCGGCGCCATGTGCTGTATTTCGGCCTTCATGCTGCGTGTAGCGGGTTTCATCCACCCATGACTCCCCCGGAACTTCACTCCGGTGTTGCCGCCGAAGTTACCCGTTCGCCACGTTGTGCATGTGAGCTTGTTTCTTCCTCAGTCTTTCATTCCAGACCACCAACTCTCAATAGAAAACCGCGCTCCATGTGGGATGCCTCTCGGCCCCAGAATCTGGCCTCTGCAAACCCTGCCTCCAAGTCACAGGCCCTGTAAGCATGCCTGCCAGGTAACCAACCGCGCACTCCGCCTCATCATCGCCAAGCATGACTCACTCTCCGCCATCCAGCCGGCTCCCAATCACCAGCCGCCGCAACCCTCCCTGAGCGACCCCAAATGGCCGCTAACAAGTCGACAGCGAGGCCCTGAGACGAGCGTTCGGCCGCCAATGTGCAGGGATTCGAGAGACGCCTACGACAACAGCCTACACCATGCCCAATCCATCCACACGTAGGCGCAACATCACCAACACTCGTCAGCCCAACACCAGGCAGCCTGTTCGCCATATATATCTGCCTCCTTCGCCGACGTTCTATCGTCAGCTAAGACACGCACACATCAAGAAAACGGCAACAAGCCACGCGCCCTTGCGCCCTCATCCCACGCCCTTCGGCGAAGACACTCCCTCCTCCCACTTCGATCAGCTTCTCTGGACACATTCCGCCCATCTCACTTACACCGATCGAATCACCCACCAAATATATAAGCCTACCTCCCGAAACACCGCCACTATGGGTCTCTCACTTCACAACAGCGCCGATGCATTAAATCTTCTCTCCCAAGGCCCCTCGCAGGTCACCCACCCGCGCACCCGCGCGCACTACAAAGGCGCATTCCTCCGCGCCGACGGCTCTCTGTCATTGAACAGAGAATACGCCGACCAACGTTTCCACCTCCTCGATCTCGTCCTCCACGCCAATTACCAGCGACGAGCCCAAAGGCACCGGACCCGCCGGCGCCAGCAGACCAACCGCTCCATCCAGCAATGGCGCTCTGACCAGACGGACGAGGGCCGCGAGCTCGCGGCCCTCGACGGGGTTAGAGTTCCGGGCGAGGCCCCACAACGGCGCCGTACCCCGTCCCTGGAGCGGCAGGGCGCGTTCCGGCTCTCCGGCACGACCAGGAGTCGAATCCAACAAGACGAAGAAGGCCTCGACGAACTTTATCGCCTTGGTCTCCTTTACGACGATGAGCATCTCCGTGGCGAGGGCTTCGAGTTGGGCTCAATCGCGCACCCTGAACCTGAGTACACCGTCCGTCCCGCCAAGCGGGCGCGCGGGAGTCAGGCTCAACGGCGCTCATACGAAGATGACTTACAGCTGGCGTTGGACCTTTCGCTCGCCGAACTAGGCCGCGACGAATCTTTCGCCCGTTATCTCTGTTCGCCTGACCTGGACGAGCCCCCGTCCGAGGATGACGACTCCTCCGATTTCACAACTTCGCAATTTGACTCCGGGCTCCTGAGCCCTCCCGATTCCGACACCGAGGATACCCCCGACCTGACAACTGATTCTGATTCCGATCGCTTTTCTCTTTCTTCTTTTACTTCTTCATCTGAGCAGCAGCATTGGGCGGCGGCGCGTCCGAGGAGTAGGAGAGGGCGTGCTGCTGCCAACCACGACGTCTCCGACAATGCCTGGATGGTGCTGGGTGACGGCTCGTAGCAGGTCCGCATAAGAGATCCCCGCGCGCCATTCGGATCTCGACTGTGTTTTTGTGGTCGGATAGCCCCCCCCCCCAAACGGACTGGTCCTCATTAGCCCAGCATTTCCGGGTGTCGGAGCGCGCGTGTTTCTTGATTTCCATTTCTGTCATTTTTTTTCTTGGGGGCGGTCGTGTGCTCGTGGTTGGGATAAGATCACTGAGCTCGCCGTCAATCATGTACGAATATTTATTCAGGGCGCATTTACATGGGGCGTTATGTGCAACACATGAATGAGAAATAAGTCAATTAGAGTCTTAAAGAGCTACTTGTGAGAACGGTCGGATTGTGACAGACTTCAAGCCGTACTTCTGCCTCGCGTACTGCTCATAGTATTGCGGTTGAAATGCTCTCATCCGGTTGATGGGTGATGTTGCCACCTCTATTTCGAGGGTGTTGGTGTCATTTCGAAGCCACTTGCTGACGTCGAGGCGATGAGCCATTTGATCGAGAGAACCTAGTGTTTCCCCATTGACTTTAGCCCTGAAAGACCCCTGGAACATGTCGAGCTCCATGTATGCACCTGTGTCAGAAACGTATGGTGCATCCGCTGTTCCAAGAACGAACTCTGTGGAGTAGGTCGCGTTCCCAGAGACATTCTGCAGTCCATCTATATCTGACCAAGGAGTAAGTGTTGTCAGGTTGAGACTGTGGTGAACGAACTTAGTCGCGACGATATCCTCCACGTCGTCTGAAGGGTTCTCATTTGCTGGTTGCCAGTCATCAAGCTCCAAGGCCCAATACGTGAGGGCTAATGCAGGCAGGGGAGCTTTGAAGGATGTTGTAAGTTGAGAACCATTGCTCAGTACGATCCTGTAATCTCCAACTTCACCATTCCGAACAAAGAGCTGCCCGCTTGTGCTGTTGCGGAAGATGGAGTCGGCAGTGGAATTCACTACATGTACGACATCCGCCGACGATGGAGAGATGATGAGAATCTTTGACTGTTGTGGCTCGAGGGACATCCCAATATTGAGCCGGCCGTTCACAATGGTGTACTGGCCAGCTAGGTTGACTTCGCCAGACCAAGCGTCAAGCACAAGCGGCGCTACGTATTCGTGGCGGATCGAAAGCGAGACGTCTTGGCTCACACCCGTTGATGACGAGTTGGCAGTGAAGAAGTACAGATCAAAGTCGCCATGCTCGCGGCGGATGTGAATCAGTGGGGATGCCGAGTGTGTGACAGCTGGGGATAACCCAAGTTTCTCGAGTCCAGTAGGGATGTCGCTTGAATTGGCGACGTTCACGACATTGCTCAAGGACAAGAGATGCTTGACGTCTGTAGCGACACCAGTAGATCCAGCTTCAGACAAACCCAGAGAACCTGGTGACGTCCAGTCGCCCAGGAAAAGCATCGGTAGTCCCTCATCGGCAAGGTCTCTCAGCTTCCTGGTTGATGTGGGCGTAAGTTGGGCCTGGCCTGCATCGGGATCTTCTGCCACAACAAGCAAGCTGTAATTCCCTGCGTCAGGTGCAAGGCGGCCGTCTTTTACAACAGCCGACGGTAGATGTAGCAAGTATTCGTCGACGTACGTTGTCGCCCATCCGATCTGAGCACCCTCGCTGGTGAAGTATGGGCCGACGTAGTGATCGTCCGAAGCCCCATTCTGTCGGAAGAAACCGCAATCATACTTGGGGATACCTTGCGATGTGAAGTAGGAAGCTCTTCCCATATAGGCTGTGAAGTCGGAAGCGTGCATCCAAGTTGGTGTGCGAGGACCCCAAGACTCGGAGTAACCGATGCGTCCTTTGTACGGAGTAAAAGCCCCCCAGCCAGGCCACATCGTTTCCGGGCCGTAGATGTATGAGAAACCGTGGAGGACGTTGTGAGTCAGGCCAGCGGCGAATTGGGAATTGACGGTTCCCAGAATCTTGGCCCATGTAGTTGCGTACGCGGCCTTATTGTAAGCTCCAAGCTCATTCGACATGATGTTGACGCCAGCGAAGCTGTTTGCCCCAGCCAAGACGCGGTAGTCATCATTAACTTGGAACCCGAGAGATTCGCCTTCCGGAATATCCAGCGTTGTGGCGATTCTCATGCTGTCCAACTTGTCGATGCCGTAGGGTTGCGCCCTGTATTTCATCCCGCGAGAGTTCAGCCACTTCCGGAGGGGCGCAACGTGATAGTCAGTGTAGAGATCGGTGATTGTCTCGTGATAGTCATGAAGAGATCCTCGTTGCGCCTCCGAGTCGTTGAACAGGAAGAGGTAGGCGTTGTTTTTGTACTGCGTGACAACAGGGAGAATGTCCATGACGCTGTATCCGCGGCGAGACAGAAACTCGTCGGCAAAGTTGGGTGTCCAGTACGTGGCGGACACCATCTCTTGGGAATCCTCAAACAGCGATGTTGGGGTCTGGGCTATGAGTTCAAGCATCTCCGGTGTCAGGATTTGATCTTCCCAAAAGTCAACCACGGCCTGAGCGCCAGCTTCGCTGAAGTGATCGACGACATAGGAGGTTGGTGTCGTGTGGGGATAGTCTTCGGGCTGTTGCCCTGTTCCACGGATGACAGCGGAGAAGAGCAACCATGAGGAGCTGTCTGGGGGTGAGAAAGCGACTGCACCGTCCGTCACCGCATCGGTCAAGTCGACCATGGATCCGTAGTCCAGATACACCGGATTGCTGTATGGGTCAGA